AGTTGGAGGGCGTGATGCTTAGTGGAAGTGTAGAGGTGTGGTTCTCTGAGGGTGTACTGGCGTTGTCGAAGGCGTCGGAAAAGTCGTTTGTGGGTGGCTAATCTGGAGTAGAAGTGGGCTCTGTGTTTTGCGAACTGCCATCCCTGAGCTTTGAGTTTGAGGTGGTGGGAAATGAAAGGCCAGTTGAGTGAAGGCATCCAGTTGGCGATGTAGTGGTGCTCTTGGATCCAGGCTTGGTCGTATGTGTCATGGGAGGTGAGTTGAATAGTGGTGTAGTGGTGGATGTTGTTGTGTGAATGCCAATAACGTAAGGAGAGTTCTGCAGAAATGGGAATGTTATTTTGGAGTTGTTTGAGTTTGGCGCGGCGATTGTGCTCGCGGTGGGGGGATGCCGATAGCTGTGGAGCCAACGTAGAAGTGGCCATGTTGATGGTAGCAGCGTTGGGGCTGGTCGGGATTGAAGTGGAGCTTGATGTAGACGGAATTGGAAGAGAGGAAATTGTGGTAGTGGTAGGTGTGGGGTAAAATGTGGAGCTGGCGGAAACGGTTGCGCCATTGTTGTGAGCGACGGGTGTTGGACGGGTATGCGAAAAGGAGGGTGATGTGGATGAGGCCGGTTGCAAAGATGGCCTCGGCGCGGTCGATGTATTGGGTGCGGTGGATGAGCATGGAAAGTGCTCGGTGCAGGTGGAAGAGTTGGGTGAGGTTGGTGTGGCTGGGTTGCTGCTGGGCCAGGATGGCGAGTCAGCAACCGATGGCTGCTCCGACTCCCACCAGCTGTTGTAGGCTGCGAATGGGGAGTCGGTTGACCCGGTTAAGGGGTAGGCCATATTTGGTGGCTGCTTCTTTTAGCTGCTGCGTGGTGACTTTGCTTGTTTGCAGCAGTCGGATGACTTCCGTCGCAGCTTCTTGGATGGTGGGGTCGAAGGTAGTGACCCATTGTTGGATCTCTGGGTGGTTCCAGCCTTCAGGGATATCGTCTTGCAGCGTGGGGTGTGGTGGTTGCAAGACGTCGGTGATGGCTGGTGGTTTGGGTGGTGGTGGCGTGGGTGCGTGAGAAGGGGCGGCTGGTGCGGAAGATCGGCTGGTGTTCTTGACTGGTGTGAGTGGGTTGCCCAGGTCTTGGAGTTTCTGACGTGCACGAGCCAGTTCGTCGTTGGTGTTTTTGAGGGCGCGTAGAGCGGAGCCTTCCCTGGAGAACCAAACGACCGTTTTTTTTAGGGTCATTCTAACAAAACTAGGTCAATGACCTTTTTTTTTGGGTCATTCACGTTTTTCTTCCAGACACCCCTGAAGTGCACTCTGGAGCGTCCAGCCCTTTTTTCCACAACCGCGTGCCAGTGCACCCCTGCACTCAGTAAGTACCTCTTCAAACATTGTTGGGCCGTGCCGCGGTGATGGCATCCAGAAGCCTGATGCCAAAAAATGAAAAATTGACACCTTGATGTCCACTAAAAAAGGGTTTGGACAGCCAATCCAGCCCAGCAACGATGGAGCACAGAATTCGAATGAAGTCTTCGTCGGCAAAACAACTGTTTATACGTGGATTGAGGCCTGAAAGTTGCTTGCAAATTTCCCACATATGCAGGAAGATGTGTATCCTGAGGCAGGATGATAAGAACAAAGACAAATTAAACCGAACAATATTTAGAGAGACCACCAACAGCAACACACGTCGCCATGTTTTCCATATGTATGTGTTCATCCAAATGTCTTCGGTCTCAATTTGAACAGATACGTTCGCTCCACGTAAGATGAGTGCGCCAGCCACAAATACCCCACCACAAAGCCGTGGGCAGATTTCAAAGCCATTTCAGCTTCTGGCTCATCGAGAAAAAAATTTTCCCCTCCATCAATCTTATGACCCTTGCCAGCTGCCTCGCTGTCCTCAGCTGATCGAACTTGATAGAGATTCAAACCCGCGAAGGGGTTGCGCACGCATCACACTACGCATCACTATCAACAGCTTCCCAGAAACATTTCAAGAACGTCCCAGAACTCAGCGTCCAGAACCCTGCAAGTAGCACGATGGGCTGGAAGCGTATCGGCCTAAGCGCTATATATAGCTAGCCGGTATTAATTTGTAGTGAGTGCACTGCGTGCGTTTCGGGCAAACTTAGTCCTGGGCCAAGAAGAGAGCGATAATTTTGGCGTCAAAGCCTTTACAATTGAGTGACGGGTAACCTCCCTCATAGGAATAAGATATCTCATCCATCGAGATCGGGGTGCCCCTCTCTTTGCAATAGAGCGTGATCGCATCAAAGAGGACATGCTCATCAGAAAATGCAGACTGAAAGGCGCCGGCTAAAAAGTCAGGCACGAAGCCCCTATACATCACGCGCAGCGGGTCGTTGTGTATGAGCGTCGGGTGAAAACTCTGCAAGGCTATCAGCGGGCTAGTGTAAGGTGTGTGAGCTGACACACTCCTTTTGAATTCCTCAGGATCATTTGCACACGTAGCAAAAACTGCAACAAAACATATTTGTTTCAGGTTGCTCCAACAAATGCACGGACGATTTCCAACTCTTGGCTAGGAACCTCAAGTGATTCTGTCGAATCTTTCCACCCACAGTCATCGAAACAGTTCAAATAATGCGAAGACCCTGGGGCCAAATAGGTCGCACCATCTTGCGGATCATCTGTAGACGCCAGCCTGCCAAAAGTTGGAAGCGGCTGCAGGCTGGTCTGAATCAGAATTCATCACTCCGAGCCACGCGCAAATGTGGCACATCCTGCCACAGCTGTAGAAGGCAAACCATGTGAGGGTGACAAAAAGAAATGAAAGGCCAGAGTACTAGGATTGGTGATAGACACCTTTCAAGGACGCACGCTTTCTTTCTTCCAGTGAGATTGGGAAGCAAAAATCGGCCAAAGAACAAATTTAAAACACTATCGTGATTGCGGTCCTGTTGCCCAAGCGCTTGCCGTTTCCAGTCCAATACCGTGGACTCAGTGCAACCATATTTTCAACAGAGTCAGTTCTAGAACATATGAACCACAGGCCCTGGCAAATAGAAGGTTTGATGCAACCATTTCCAATCCCCGCCCATGCCGAGGAAGATGGCTTGGCGCTCTTGGCCACCAAACCTAAACCGCCTCAGCTGGAACTTTACACACTTTTCTTTACCATTGTTCGAAAAACGCGCTTTAACAAACTGCAAAATGTCACCTCGAACTTGATGCTGATTCCGGGCACAGATTCGCCAGGTCTGTTGCGATGAGATCGAAAATGTCATCGCAGGTACTTCGACACTTCAATTTTTTTTGTTTTTTTCGCGTCACCAGAAATTTACCAGGCACAACGCCTCAGACAACATACTATCTACGCTTTGTGTATGCCGCTTTGCATGCTGCTTGCTTAAAAAGCTGAAGGGAACATAAGGCAAAGCTGCAGATTGCCAGTCGCGATCTCAATGTGTCCTTAACTTTATAAACTAGAATGACATCTTGCGCGTTCCAACTGCGTCTCAAACTGGCAAGCCCAGTGACTGGGTTGTGGACAAATGGACAGGACATCGATATGATCAGCAGATTTCTTTTCTTAAAGTATGGCCCCTCGTCTCCATGGATCCGGACTCCAATATCATGAGGGCCTGCCCAATTCTGGAAAAGAGATTCTGTTGGGAAAACTCATGACCCCCGCGCAGTCCTGCATCCAAATGAAGCACAGCGGATGTTTGAAGGCGCTTCCAAAACCTCAACCCCGGACCCCCAAACAAGCCAATCTATATATTGTATATGGCGTGGCTGTTGCAGCAGCGACCAACCTAAGGCTGAAACTCAGCTCTATCTGCTTCAGTGGTTTGACCAAAGAACATGTCATTGAAAAAGGGAGGGCGTTCAACGAACCACTTGATGTAGTCTGACGGCAGTACCATACCTCATTCATCTGAAGATTTATGCAACGCACGCGCACGGCGCAAAATGCACTCGACGCAAAATTGTTTGCAAGTTACTGACTTTTCTTTGCACAGTTGTTTTTTTGTGCAACGTAGTCAAACTGACAGTTCGAATATGAGGTAGGTCTCGTGCAAGGCGTCTATGCAAGCGACTTTCTCGGTCGGTCCCGGCCAGAAACTGGGTCTGAAACTTGGAGCTGCCTTCTTGTACGCACGCAGCTGCAAGTTTGCTGAAAAAAGATACGTCAGCATTCTTTTGTCTTAAGCCTCTATCCAGCAAGGTCCTCGCCACTGGAGACTTTGCAATCTCTTCCAAGTAAGAGAAATGGGTTTTCCAAACATCTGGCACGGGCTGGGTAGCGCTGGCTGAGGCTTGGTCACGCCTCCTCAAAGCGTTCGCGATAGCTCTGGCCCGGGACCACTTTTGCCTAAGGTTGCAGGAACATGTATGGACATGTTTGCATTTGTTTTGCTGCCGTTGACAAAAAGAAGAGCAATACGTGAGCACCTCACTTTCCCACATAAGACGTGGCTCCTTTGGAGCTTGGAGGGGTTGCGCCTGCGCAGGAAAATACAAAAATATGGCTTTCTGATTGTCTTTGTTCGCGGACTTGCCAGAGCCAAGAAACACATCAGAGAACACGGTTTCATCAGCAAAAAATCTGATTTCTCCATTCTTTCTGCGCTTCAGGTTCCGGCCCCGCTAGCGTCCCACAGACTCCCCAGACAGGTTTGCTACTACAGGCTCATGCAGGCTAGCTGCTAGCGCGCCACCCGGCTCTATGGAAAACCCATATCAACTTTGGATCCAAAAACTGATCATTGTCAGTTGACAGCAATTGAACCCCTTCAGTCAGCGGATCACCCAGAGTCAATCTCTCAATCATTTCTTGGCCAAAGATTTGGCGCAACCCAGGGCGAACTCCTGGCACAATTTAGAGCGCCCAGCACAGTGTAAAACGATGCATGTCTCTCCTCCTTGGAGACGAAGGCCAAATATGTGTTAGCCAGATCCTGCAGAAGAATCACACAAAATGCATTGCATCCAACAGGCACACACGTAAAGGTAGGAAGGAGGGAATGTTTTGATCTGTCCTTCACCTTGGATTCCCAAGCATCATCCTCGGTGTCATCTGCAAGCTCACGAACGGCCTGACAATGAGCCGGGCAAGGATGAGGTGTAAGTGTGTGTGTGTGTGTAAGTTAAAAAATGGGAGCTGCAATGCTGGTCGCACCTTCCAAGCCTCTTCAAGGTCGTTCTTTGCGGAGGTGAGATCCGCGCACGCTTTCTCTGCGGCCTCGTGACCCTGCAACTGGAAAATGCACTTGCCACAGGCGGCTGCCTGCGCGCTATGGGAGTGTCAGGCAGGCTAGACTTCCAACACTAGCTAAACAATGATTAACTGATTGGCACACTGGCGCCCGCTGAAAACCTTCAAAGACACTTCACCAAACGTCACAGTCAGAACAAAAAGCAAAAACACCAGGCGGTGCAAAAAAGAAACACTACTATGCGTACCTTCCCAGCAACTTCCTTCTCCAAGGACTTCTTCATTTTGGCTCGGTCAAGCTTTGGGAGTGGGTTCTTCAAATCGCTGGCTTTTACTTTTTTGAGCTCCCAGGTGGCCGCAGGGTTGCCTTTACCCCTCTTGGTCGAAGCAGACTTGGCCTTTGCTCTGCTTTTTGGGATGGGCTTGCCTATGCACAAAGACATGGCAAACACGCGTCACAGGCAGCGCGCCCACACAAACTGACAACATGTTCAATGCACACTGGCCACGCGAGCAGCAGCAAAAGCGTTAGGCCTTCGTCCTCCTCCTCACCATCCTTTTCCTTCTTCCCTTTGTTCAACGTTTTCCTTGTTGCTGTAGAAGGGACATTCGCAAAAGGACGAGTGTATGTAAACAAGACACTGCCAAACGCAGGCAAGGATCAAAGTCTCAAACAGCTCAGCTGCTTCCTTGCGAGTGTCCTGTGCCAATGGCAAAATCTTGGTGCGCCACAACTCGATGTGGCGGACAAGATCAGTCTCGGTCATCTCGGTGCGAAGCTTGTACAACTTGTGCTCTGCGCCCAAATTTGGGTCATCGATCGTACCTTAAAACAATTGGACAGGCTTGCTCTGTGGAGAGCTTGCAGGCAAAAAAACGCGGGGGCGCGAACACTAGATGTTTATGTTGGAAGAAAGCTACGGCCATCTTCCTCCGCTATCTTCATAGCTTTCTCGGCCTTTTCTTTGTTTCCATGGTAGTGCTGCAGCACGGCTTCAGGTGTGAGGTACGCGTTCTTGGACTTGTCGTCCCTCAGGGCTTGGGACTACTTTAACCCAATAAAGGAAAAACATCTAAGGGGCAGGCTGCACCCGCAGATTCTCCTCTATGAGCTCAAGTGTGACTTCGGCGACGTCGGCCGACTTGCCCCATTTCTCAATCAGGGCTGCCTTGGCAGCGCCTCCTGCTTGCCACGCCTTGACCATCTCCATCGTTGCACGGTTGGGGTTGTTGCAGGCACGTGCCAAGGAGAACCTGCTGCCACCTGCAACCTGCCAACAACAATTCGCTTAAACAAAAATATCTAGTGAGACAAGCTCTAGAAGACCCAGCCTGGGCAGGTGGGGCCAGTTGTTGCACAGGTGTCTCTGGGGCAGGGCTTGGGGTCACTGACGTTGACGGCTCCACGGGCGTGCTTTTCTGAGATTGTGGGGTCCCAGGCGGCAGCTCGGCTGGCGATGGGACTGCACTGGCAGGACTTGTAGTGGTACCTTTGGAATGTGTCGAGTTGCCTCCAAAACGGTGTCCTTTCACCTCTGCGATCTTAGGTGGGGTAGGGGGGGCCGCCTTGGTGGCAGTCATGGGCTTCGCTGGCGTGGCTGGTGGGGATGGTTTGGCTGGCAGGTGTTCTTTGGGAGGGCCATTGAGTTCCTTCTTCAACAACTCAAGCTGGGCAAGTTTCTGCTTCTTGCGTTCCTCCTTCAGATCCTTCAGTCGCTGTAGTTCGGCTATCTCACGGTCCAACTCCTCATCTGAGGGTCCCATGTCTGCAGGACTAGGGGCAGGTGGGGGAGGGGTCTTCCTCTTCCTGTCCATTTTGTCAATTTCAGCCTCCAGGTCTTCTTCAAAAGTACGACCTTGAATGGCCAAAGATGGAAAACATTTACCTGAAAAAAATCAACCAAGTAAAAAACTGCAAGGGCACCTTCGCCTCCATTGGAAGCAGCATAGGCCTACAGATGTGACTACAAACCAAGAACCTACAAAGCAAGCAGGGCAAGTCCAGCTTCAACAGGAGAAGGCCTGACGGGCATCCTCCACCTCAACCTTTGCTGCTTTGAAAGCCTCCGACTATTCGCGAATCAACTATGCGCAGGCAGCTTGCAACGCAAACAGGTCACCTGTGTCTCCAACTCGCGATCCATGTGGCGAAGGCCTTCGACGAAGGTAAAATTTGACCTGTAGATGGGGCGCGTGGCTTTGAAGAGTGAGTTTGTGCACCTAGCTTGGGCCAAGGCAACTGGGAATCGCCGCGGTTCATACGGATCTCGCCAAGTTTTCGACCAAATATGGCTGCGCCGTGGAAGGCTTTTTTTGAGCATTTTTGGCCGTGCGGGTTCCGAGCGGGTCCGTAGATTACATTTAATAAAGCCCGTGCGGGTTCGAGCGGGTTTCGAGCGGGCGGGCGTGGTGCTCATTTTCCATGATGCGGGCGGGCGGGGTGATCATTTTGGCCTGTTCACCGGGCGCCCTTTGCACATTGATGTGCGCATCACATGCGTGTAAGTCATCAGTAACTACACACACAACTGATCACGACCCTCCTCAAAGATCAGCAGCGCGTCTTCACACTCAAAGACCGAGGTCTTCCAAAAGTTTCCTGCAAAAAAACAACAACGAAGAAATCTGAACGACAGGTGCCTTTTTCTTCCACTCTCTTTGTTTCCTCGTGTTCATATACTGCTGCCCTCGTTGCTTTCTGTGTGTCCAAAAAAAATATCCAGCTAGCACACACACGCAAACAGTATTGCCTCCAACCACGCGATGGCACACGGATCTTTCGAGAGCGCGCCAAATAGTGCGCAACATCCTTCAGGTCTGCCTTTGTACACCAGGTGGCCCACATGTGGGCTGTAGATTCTGCTGACAAAAATAAAAAACGAGATGCATCTTCCCACGTGTCGCCCATATCCAATTGTCCATCTGCATCATAAAAAAATTCATACCTCGTTTCGGGTCCGATTGCTGAACGTTTGTTTCAATTTCCGATTTACGGACGGGGTCCGTTTTCCGATTTACGGACAAGGTCCGTTTTCCGATTTACGGACAAGGTCCGTTTTCCGACTTCAATAAATTCCGCTGATTTCCTGCCAACCAATTGAAAAATAGTCGACCCTGCTTTTCGTCAAGAAGCCCGTGGGCTTCATCCTCTTCGTCCACAGGAAGCACGGACATGGCGGGTTGCCTGGGTTCCTCTCTTGCTTGCTCAATCAACTGCGCAATCGCTGTGCCCAAAGCCGGCGGATACTCCCTGAATACAAACAAAAAAACACGCTTTGTCAAACAAATGCACATGCTTTGCTGAAAAAATCACAGATTGGCTAGGCGAGTGTCTGCGTGTGCTTCAGCGACGGCCGTCCCGTGACACGCCCGTTCTCGTCACGTTTTGTGGTTGGCTCAATCATGAGCATTCCACGCAATTCGTGGCACTTCGCGCGTGATTGTTTGGTGAATTTTTTGTATAAACCACCACATAGACCAAGCCTCAGAAGGCCGTGTCATTCATTTCCGCGGAAACAAATATATCTAATGTCAAACACCGATTTCCAGCTTGGCAACAGATTTGACCGGAATTGGCAAAGTTTCGGGCTGCAGTGCCCGTATGCACCCAAATATTGGTTCAAGATGTACACAGGTTCACAGTTTGTGACCACACTGCGCGGATGAAAATGTAGCAAGCTCGATGCAGGTTGCTCAAAAAGGTAAACTCCACGGAGGAATAGAAGAAGGAATAGCGCCAAAAAGGTCCTGCCAATATTTCTCACAAAACGTCTGCGTAACACGGCCAGGCTTTGCTGGGATGAACCTGCCTTGATATCATAAGGTTCGCTTCCGCGATGCAAGGCAACCGTGTAAATCCAAGCGGTGATTCTGGGCCTAAGGTCTATTTTATTGACTACAACTACGACCACATGCCACAGCAGTACTCTAGGGCCATGGCTTCTTCCCCCTGTGGATCGGTTGACCCAAATCCAGGTGGAACAGACCGGTTGGAAGATTCCAAACCTGTGCCGCCGAATGTTGAAATCAACAAAGCTAGATTTTCCGGTTCTATTCTATCAAAAAAACGTGCTGTCTGGCCTTGGCCCTGCTGGATCCAAGCACAAGATAGACCACAGGACCAACCTGGACAAGGCCAAGCGCGCCCGACAAACAGGTGAACACAAGAAAACTGTACAGCGCTAAGGACTCAACGCGAAGCCCGCACTTTTCAAGATGTTTAAGGAGGGATGCAGCTCGATGTCGTGAGCAGCCACCCGGTAGCGGATCTTGTTCAGAGCTGCCTAGCGTTTTGGGCGTTAGCAAGATTTCGCTTAATTTGTGTGCTTCAGATGTCTAAACTGGCAAACGCTCCACAACTTACGTTTCAAACAAGGTGCAGGCCTTGATGTGACCTTTGCCACTGAAAAGGTCGACGCAGTCGTACTTCGGGGTGATAGGCACTTCCGTGTTCCAGATCCTACAGCAAAACCAAAAAATGGCTGCCCAATACACCCAATTAAGAGCCCAATTAAGAACAATATACGCAACGCAAATCAAGATTACTTCACGCGAGTCCCCGGCAGGAGCAAGAGTACGACGATTCCCATCTTGGGAAATCCAAACTTCACCAAACTTGTCACAAGCGCTCTGCTTGCGTCGGCCACAGAAATCCTAGGCCAACAAGGAAAAAAACGTTTTGGCGCTCAACTGTTCCCCTTTCTGGCACACAAGCTGGGGCTGAAGCAAGCCGAAGCAAAGGAGTAACCGCAGTAAGCCCATCATCACGCAACTACTATGCTGTCCAAAGCCCCGACAGCTAGGGAAAACCACGCAAAGATGCAGTGACAAAGCTGCAAGCGCCAAGCTCAGCAAACACGAACACACTCACAGCAGAAGTAGGCCAGCTAGGGGGTGGAACCTGCAGATGTAGAAGCTATTGAAGACCTGCCATGCTCTGTACCTGAACCGATTGGCAAACAAGGGTTTGCAAGCAGTTTGCTACATCAAAACGGCGGACACAAACTTCAGCGCAGAGTGAAAGATCTTGTGAAGCTGAAGCTTGCAACCCTTTTCCTTTCCAGGTGAGCGTTCCGTTCAAATCTCTAACCTTTATGTGGCAGCGGTGTTTCCACCAGCTTTGGACTGCAAGTATTTTTGCGCTAGATCTTTACAAGATGCCTCAATTTCCTGCTCAGTATCCCCAACAATCAGCTTGTGGGAGGTGTTCCAGTAGTCAACCTTCACGCGATAGTCTCAACCCTATTTTCAATTTCTTTTCAAAAAATTGCACAGGCCTTCGATTTGTCCCACGTTCGAAGTTCCAGAGTGGGCTTGATGAACCTTAGCCAAAGTCTAGTTTGACAAAAACAAACATCAAGACTCGGTGGGCAACGCAATCAACAGGCTCCGTTTTTGGTGCGCCAGGCAATGATCTAAACGGGTAGGCGACTAACCATAATTGACATTGCTGGGCTTGCCAAGAACATGCAACTGAGAAGCTCTTCCCAGCTGGCTCGGAAATAATCAAACTTCCACGTCGCTGGCGCGGTTTTTGGCCGCTTACGTTTCGCCCAGTTATCGCTGGGAGCCTCCCGTTTCGGAGGTGGATTTTTCTCACGTTCTTTCTCTTTGGTTTCTGCCTTTTGTTTGAGTTCTCCACTACGGTTCTCGGTTTCAAGTTTCAGTTTTCTTCCAGCGGGCTCTTCTGCATCTGTCTTGGCGTGTGCCAAAGCCTGACATGGAGAGACTTCACACTAGAAAGCAGGAAAATTTCAAGAAACAATAACATGACTGCTGCTGAAAAACATTTTGCGATAAAGGGCTGACAAAGGCCCGTTGTTTTAGTAAGAGGTCAACAAGTTTGTCGTCAGCTTCCTCATGTGGGTCCGCTGGCGGATCATCTTCGTCCGAATCGATCTGCACAGGGTCCTGGCAACAATTTTTAAGAAACTTGCGCGGCAATCGTTTTGCTTGTTGATTTGTTTGCGAGTCAGTTTTCACACTCCCATCCTCCCCAAAAACGTGTTTCTGCGCTTCCTTGTACTTCTCCTTGGCCGCCTGCAACGCATTCAGCAATCTGATTGAAAAACCTGTTTGTAGAACAAAGCTCACTCTGACAAAGGTTACCATTAATGGTACCTCCATTTGCCTCGAGACGTTGCCTAGCTGCCCTAGCGTCCTGCTCTTCTGCGTCCTGCTCTTCTGTAGGTTCACACCTGACAAACACACGTCGCAAGAACCAGCTGCTGACAGCACGCCGCACGAAACACAGCAGACAAGCCTTTCCGAGTTCTCATGAAGGCGTTCTGGCTCTGGCTCTGGCCTGTTAGAATTTTTGATCCTCGTAGAAGAGAAACTGGTAACAACGGAAGCCTCGCAGACGCAGCGGAAGTCAGACTTGCAGGATTGGAGCGCTGCTTTCGAATGATCCTCAGGCCGCACAAAACTCCGCAACGAACACACGCGCACACTAGCTGACTCGCCAAAAGCAGCGGAAACATATTGGAGCGCACCATCAGCTACAAACAAAAACCTTGGAGTTGAGCTCAGCGCTTTGACTTCATGGCGTCCACGCGTGGGAAATATGAAGTCCTTAGAAGTAGACCAGTGACCAGTCCATGCTGGCTGACTGTTCCAAAAGCTCACGGGTCAAAGCACACCAACCAATTTGGCCAGGACACTGGCTCTTGTTTTTCAGCGCTCGAACTCTGCTTACACTCCGTCTCAAAATTGAAGCCATCAAGTTTTGGTCCATGTCAGGAAGCTTTTG